CGTATCGCGCGAGATTTTTCTTCTGATGAGAAGCGCGTCTTAAATCACACCTTGACACCCTCCACGTTCGAAAAGAATTTCTCGATCATCGGAGCCTTCGCCGATTGCGATGTTGTAACCTGAACCGGAGTATGATCCCAGAATCTCTCAATTTGCACTACTTTTCTAGTGTAGAGCCTACCCTCACTGTCCACACATTCTTCCGTGCGCAGTGTGTTCATTGTTTGCCGCTGCCGTGGGTTCACCACATTCTCCGAGTTTTCAGATACTGCCGATATTGGACTTGTTGTCGCCAGGTCATTCATCTGTTCCGCCATCTCTAGCAAAACCTCCTGACCATCGTGGAATTGCTTGATGTGATCCAAAACAGAGTTGAAGCTCATTTCGCAACTGGTGCAACTGTATACAGCATCAGATTCAAACTGTGACAGAAACGAAAAATGGTGTAAAAAAAAAATCAAATTACTAATTTAAAAGATGGTTTCTCTTTCATGATAACGTTCACTAAATAAGGTAAAAATCCCAATAACTGAATGTGTCATAATAATTAAAAAAGTAACAAATAGTTGCAATTATTAAGATATTTATCAATAACAGCAAGAAAATGGCATAAATATTTCATACAAAAATAAGTGATAAAATATAATTTAATTGCAAATTATTGTGAAAAAAATTGCTTATTTCAAATGCTCACAGAGCACTTTTGATAAACCATAGAAACTATCTATTACTGAACCCTGTATCTAGAACATCTTTTGTTCAACACATTATAAGCTATATTTGTAAAAAATAATTAATTTTATCGAGACCCAATTTTCTACATAATTAGTATGGTCCTTTCACATAAGTGTCTCTTTTCAGATATAAAAAAATGTTAATATTTTTCAATCACTGAAAAACAAAATTACTATTAATTTATACCATTTTTTTGCAATATCATTAAGTATTAATAATACAGAATTGATATCACATACTTCCTTCTTATTAGTTCAGCCATTAAAACATTTATCTTATTTATAATAAAATACAAACACAATATAATCCGGTTTTTAATATACCTTGCACAGCTCTCGCTTGACACGTAGAAGATCAACCTCGTCCATTTCCCCTGCCTCATTTATACGATCCACATCGATCAGGGTTGTGGTCTCGGTCCCATCCAGAAGTTCGGAATTATCTGGTAACACAGCAATTATGTTCTTCTCCATCAATGCCTTGCGATCCGGATTCGATATGGGAATAGCCACCAATCCTTGCGACGACTGCAGTCTTCTTTGCGTTCCGCCAACATCGCCGATGAGTCCTTCGGACATCTTGAAATCCAGAGAATTTTGATCTGGTTGCGTTTCTTCAGTGTCCATCTTTTCTACGACTTTAATCTCTCCTGATGTTTTTTTTATTAGAAATGATAGATTAAACACACAAAACTATGCAACAAAACAGCAATTTTACAAACCATTCTCATCCATTTGTATCGTTTGTGGATCACTTAGTATGACTACTCCATTGTTGCCCATGGTCGCCAAGAAGCCTCGATTGAGCTGCTGTCCCTTGACATCCTAAAAATAACAATTACAGTTAAAAAGTATCCTTGGTTAGAAGAGAGCAGTAGTAAACTAAATAATAATTTTTTAATATAGACTCTCTATTATTACGATTATTTTAAATAATATGAAATAAATATATTATTTTAAGACTATAGAAGAATTCCATCCAAGATTTGTTCCATAATTATGTTTCATTAAATGTTCATAAACTCCATTTTAAGTAATATTTAAAATAAATATATTATTTCATGGATTTCCAAGAAATTCATTCAAGATGTATTTCACAATTGTTTCATTAGATTGTGACAAACTCCATCTAAGCAATATTTAAAATAACATGAGATAAATGTATTTGAGAACTTGAATGTTTTTGGACAGTCTCATCATAACAAAATTTCATGTTCTCCCTTTTCCGTACCAATAACAAATCCATTTTGATTTCAGGCTCCTTTCCGCCTTTTCTGAGCTTGTCCGTAAGAATCTCAGGCTTTATCCTATACCTCAAATCGTGCTCGCACATGTCCAGGTGCTGAATAAGCGCCGTCACAGAATCAGAACGCTGCGAACAACCCGGGCAATAGAGATTGTCTGTCATACTTAGCAAGTGGTATTTAAGGGATTGAGTAGTATTGAAAGTTTCTCCGCAACACATGGGACAGATAAGGTTCAGCGTGCCCATAATTAAGCTGTTGTGCTTTACTAGATTTGGACGATCGGACGTCGCTTTGGTGTGCCGTGGAATAAATTTACAATCCGGTTGGATGATTTAACCTAACGCAGGACATTGATGAGAAGTATTTGCAAAAACGTATCTGCGGCAATATCATTTCGTCTGCCGAATATCAGGCGAAATTATGCACGCGTCGAATCAGGCCGTCCTTTTCTTTCTCCTCGTAGCAGTCTACAACCTGGTCACCGAGATAACAAATCCATTAGAGACGAACTTCAGCGCAAACAAATGCCGCACACAACAATCATGAAGCAGATTTACCAATTTACAACGTCGGTCTGTCGCGCCCTCTAGATGTTGAACAGCCGTCAAGACCTGCATATAATAAAAAATATTAAATAAAAAAAAAAATATTCAAAAATTAAAAAAAAATTTTATTTAATATTTAAATATTAATTTTTAATAATTAACACGTTAAATAAGGCGAATAAGAATCAAATTACAATTTGAAATCTAAATCTGATAATTTATTCTAATTTATTATATATTGCGAAGAATATCACGTAATTTTTGGCGTTTCGTCCCGGCTTCCACTACTGGACTCATCAGTAAGGCATTGTAGTGGAAGCCTACCTTATACACCTTGGTAAGTTATTAAATCGAGATTCTATATAAAGAGATATACGAGTGTCTTAGCACTTGCGAGAATTGCGAATTATTAATTTTCAATTTTTCTGAAAATTTAAGTATTTATTTTATAAAGTATCTATATATTTTGTAATATATCATTCTATAAAAAAAAAACAGATTTGAAAAAAACCTTTGCCTGTCCTTTACGCCTCCACCTACAAAACAATTATTGATATCACATATTATGTGCCCTTTGAAACCAAGCAACTTTTATATTTAATACTTTTCCTTCTATGTATTGTTAAAAAAAAAGCGAGTTATTCAGATAAAAAATCTATTTTAAATGCCTCACTCTGTAGATTAATTTAATCTTGGTTTAATTTGCTCTTAGTCTTTTTCTAATTCTAAAAATTAGAAAAAGATTAACAGCAAGTCAAATCGAGATTATATAAAGTAAATCTATATTGATATAAACAAGCATAAAGTCTCCACGAATATATTGGGGAGAGAGAGAGAGAGAGAGAGAGAGAGAGAGAGAGAG